GTAGTGAAGAGGAGGAAATTACGGCCAGACCTCCTTCAAAAGTCCGTAAAAAGTATTTTAAACAATGCTACATGCATCTCACATCCATAAAGAAAGAAGAAACAAAGGATTTTACACGGACACAGTGGGATACATTCAGAAACTGCGTCAAACGGTGGCTTTTTTTGCAAGGTGAGAATCGGAGAATAGCAGAAACATACAAACATTGTCTAGAAATCGAGTTTGACAATGTTCCCGAAGACGCTGGGTTTCACTCCACTTGCTACAGGCGTTTCATTGACAAAAAGCGCTTGGATGCGGCCGAGAAACGGGCCACACAGCGTCCTGATGCTCAAGATCAAAGCCAGTCTGTGCCATCGGGTAGTAACGTTAGTATCGCTGCAGTTGATTGTCCCGCAAAAAAACTTAGGTCCAGGACCGGCCTGCCAGTAGCTTGTGCTGGTCCTGTGCTTTCTGCCTTGGGCATAATTTGTAAGAAAACGGACAAGTACATTACTGTGGGAGGCAAACGCCAGAAGGACCATCTTTCACAGGCAGAAACGTCAGCACGTAGGTAAAAACAAAACACACACAAACACACATTTGAACTTGTATTCCCTTATGCTGGGTACCATGGCTAACTTTCAATTACAATTACATAATTTATGTAATGTTTATTTTACAGTCAGAGACAGATTTGCATTGTTTTGCATACAGCTACAGCCAGAACACTCAATATTGTTTAACTCTTAACACAGTTTTTTATTAGTTGAATAAGTTTTATTTATTTATTTACAGGCAATTTGCTGAAAGCTGCTGAAATGAAGGAAGACACTAGCATTCTTGTGCATATTCGAGACAAAGACTGTGTGTCTCTGGAGGTGCGATACCACAAGTCCTGTTATAGACAGTACACCAGGTTCTTGACAAAGTCTAGTGCATCAGTTACTGTGACCTCAGAAGAACAGTGAGTTCGCAATATTTTATATTAATAAATATTAATGAATAATTCCCTCACATTTTCACATTAAAAAAGTAGGAGGTTGGCCCGTGATTTCCCCCAGCTGGTGTTTCACTCCCTCAAGAAGCGCAACATAAGTGAGATGGTTTTCGTTGAGACATTGTCTGCAGATAAGCTGATAGACAGGCTACCTCATCCATCAAGTACAGAAACAACAGAGTCAACTGAGGTAACTAGCGAAATGACTGAAAACAGGGTTAGTGCAAAAGCTGGTCCACAAAGACCAAGTTCAATGGCCTCCATCAATACTGCAGAGGACACGAGGACACTTTACAGTGCGGCATTAATATTAAAGATGCTTCTGTGTGACTCTCCCGGTATGAAATGCCCGTGGCTACCCACATCAGATGACCTAAATGTGAGTGAGGCAAAATCTGTCGTTCCAATTGAACTGTACAATCTGATTTCCTGGATTATTGGTGCAACTGAGGAACCAACACTGGCCCATTATGTTGATATTCCAGATGATTTGAACCTAAAAGTGATATGTATCTGTCAAGACATTGTGTATCTTGCATCTAAGGGTCGGAGGCAGACCCCTAAATCATTGTGTCTTGGTCTAACGGTTCGCCATTTAACAGGTTCATCACAAATTGTGTCACTTGTAAATAGACTAGGACATTGTGCAGCATGGGACACAGTTGTCAGTCTAGACACTAGCCTTGCCCAACTTCAACTAGTAGAGGCAGAGACAAAATACCAAAGGGATTCTCAAAGAAGGTTCCTACAGTACTTGTGTGGGACAATATTGACTTTGCGGAGGAGACACTGTCAGGTCGTAGAACTACCCACCACACAAATGGGATTATGCTGCAAAGTTCTGTAGTTGAACCTGTGTCAACAACAGACAACCACTACAGAAGGGAAAACCCTCATTGAAAGTACCCCCTAGCATCCCTGTCGAACAGTACCATCAGTCTAATAGGCAAGGACCACATAACTTGTTTCATCAGGAAAGTGTTCCATTACAGGCGGACACATACAAATTGAACACGGTGTCTGCTGTACAAACTGAACTGGCATATGTTTTTGTAAAGTCCATAGATGCTGAAAGATGCACAATACCAAGCTGGACAGGTTTACATACATTACTTCAAGGTGATGGCACTCTGCAAAAGTCAGCACTGTATTATCTTCCAGTCATTGAGGCTTCACCAACAGAGATGTCAACAGTAAACACAATTCTGAAGCGAAGTGTCCAAATTCATAATCAGCTAGAACTGGACCATATAGTGTTAGTTTTTGACAAAGCTATATATGCCAAAGCTCAGCAAATCTGCTGGAAAGATGATGACTTTACTCAGCGTAAAGTGATTAGACTAGGTGAATTTCACACATGCATGTCCTACCTGAGCATTCTAGGAAAAAGGTTTGGAGATGCAGGACTGCAAGACATACTCATTGAGTCCAAAGTTGTTGCCCCAGGATTCATCAATGGAGTGATCAGTGGAGCTATTTTCTTTGATGGCATGGCAGTCATTCAAGCCATTCGGTCAATACCAAGTACCTTTGGAGAGCTTGCAGAGACCATACTGCAGTACATAGTCAAACTTTCTCTGAAACAAACTGTACACGGATAAACTTTGTGATTGACCAGTATCCAAAAATGAGTATTAAAAACCTAGAACGGTCACGTAGAGCTGGTGGTGGTACACAACTGGTGAAAATTTATGGACGGGATCATAAGACATCAACACAATGGAAAAAGTTTATATCAGATGGAACAAACAAAGAAGCACTGGCAGAATTCCTCTATGTTGTGTGGCGAGAGGCTGATCTTACCACTGTGGGAAAGGACTTAAGCTTGTACATAGCACATGGAGACCTGTGTCACTGCGTGACTGTAATGGAGGATTTACATACTCTCAGTGCTGTTGAAGATCTGACATGTGATCATGAGGAATGTGACACCAGGGTGTTTTTACATGCACAACATGCTGCACAGGAACATCAAACTGTAGTCATCAAGAGCCCTGATGCTGATGTGGCAGTGATTGCTTTAAGTCTGCAGCCAGATTTACCATGTAGGTTGTATTTTTTCACGGGGGTTGGCAACAAAACAAGGCTCATTGACTTAGCTAAGGTGTCGTCAGCTCTTGGCACAAGTGTCTGTTTGGCACTTATTGGGATCCATACCTTCTCAGGTTGTGACTCTACAAGTGCCTTTTATGGCAAAGGCAAAAGAAAGGCATTTTCTGTTGCTTGTGAGAAAGAGGAATATCTGACTGCTTTTACAAATCTGGGTAGCAGTTTTAACCTAGACCAGTCTACCCTTGAGCTACTTTGCACATGTGTGCCACCTGTATGGGCAGTCATCTGCCGAAAATGTGAACGATGCAAGATACAAAGCATTCTGTATGGCATCGTCAGCTTTTCTAGAACTATCCGTGCCCCCGACAAGTGACGCCCTGTACCAACACTGCAAAAGGGCAAACTACCAAGCAGCCATAATGAGACATTCTCTGAAAGGTACAATGTGTGCCCCTTCACCCGTCGGCAATGGATGGCACCCCGAGGATGGTGAGTGAATAGTGACCTGGATGACTAGAAACCCTGCCCCTGAAAGTGTGTTGCAGGCAGTCCACTGCAGTTGCAAGCAGAGCAAATGTGAGACTGGAAGATGTTCCTGTATATCTAGCAAGACTGTCTTGTACTGATTTATGTCGGTGCCAAAATTGTGCAAATGTTTCACAGGAAACAGAAGACCTACATGGGATGATGGCTCTGATAGTGATAGGGATGATACCGATGAGTAAATATGCGCTGTCTTATAATTTAAGGTGATTTTGAGCTGTAAAGAATCTGTGGTAGAATTGTAATTTTTTTGGCAGCATTCCAAAACAAGGGAACAGTGTAGCATTTCGAGTCATTTCAGCCAACTTGGGCCAAAGTGTGCTTATATTTGTATCTTTCTGTGATTACACAGTACCTACTGAAAATTTTGATGTACAAAACATCACAGTTTTGCTAAATTTAAAATGTTTATGTTTAATTTTGCTTAGTGCCAATCCGTAAAGTTGAAGCATATTTTCTACAAATTTGCCATATTTCATGGTCTACATTCACACTTGAGTATATAATGCACCAAAACCTGTCTCAAGTGTTTAGGTACATATATAAGTGTCAGTTTGAGAGATATTTGGTGTTGCTAAAATGTATATAAATAAAGTTACAAACAAAACCAGCAGCATAAGATTTTCGTTTTTTCCAATTCACAATTATATACATTTATAAATTTTGAAAAAAAACTGCAGGGTATTTTGCGGATAACTTTTAACATAAAGTCGATAATGGTTTTGTCAATAAAAAAATTCATTTAAAAAGTAGTTCCCAGATGTGGGAAACGAAAATCATTTTCTAGCCACTTTTTCCTTGTTCACCTTACGGCCTAAAAGTTTAAAGTCAAAATTCACCCTCCACTCACCCACCCAATCACGAAAGCCGGAGGGGGGGGGGGGGTGACACCACGTGACCCACAACCCCCCGTGGAAAAGACGCTGCCAACCGATCATTCGCCTACCGCATTCGTTAACACATTCACCCATCTTCTCTGCCTTGACGCAATCCACAACATTTATATCTTAAAACACCCCTCCCTCCCTCCCGTAATAAATACATGATTTAATTGTACACATTTTAAACGAGATTAAACCCATACTCACAATATTGTAAACGTAAGTTGTTTTTATTATTGTATCGTGACCACCACCACCACAATCGGCGTCGTGACGAAACTGGCTGCGAGGAATCAGCGGCTTTGTCCCCCTCGTGCGCTTTGCAAATCTGGCTTTGCGCCAAACTCGCTAATTCGCGTTAATCGACAAAAGTTTAACTTGATACAACTTCACAGTTATACAAAGTTGGCGTTCACTTCCCTCACGTTTGAGGGAAATCCCTCATCGTTGTTGTTATCGTCGTCATCGCGGCTCTTATTCCGCGTGTTTTTTTAGTTTTATTTCTCGTTGGTGGCTCGTGGTTGTTGTATTGGGGTGGGGGGTGAGAGACTTCAGTTGACATGCCGAGGCTACTCAGGTGCGTGAGTGGCTCTGTGGCTGATTCATAACAGAGAGGGAGTTTGTTGTTGGGGGGGGGGGGGGCAGATCGCGTCAATGTGTAAATGTTGTGTCGTTAAACTCGCCACCACCCACACAGCAACTGGTGAGGGGTGGTCACGTGAACAGAACGTGGCCAATTCGTCACTAGTACAGCACGAGTGTGTGTAGTGTATAGTGTAGTGTATAGTAGTGTAGTGTATAGTAGTGTAGTGTATAGTAGTGTAGTGTACTAGTACAGCACGAGTGTGTGTAGTAGTATTATAGGTAGTAGTATAGTGTATAGTAGTGTATTATAGTGTAGTAGTGTAGTGTATAGTGCAGTGTACAGTAGTGTAGTGTATAGTAGTGTACTAGTACAGCACGAGTGTGTGTAGTGTAGTAGTATAGTGTAGTAGTGTATAGTAGTGTAGTAGTGTATAGTAGTGTAGTGTATAGTAGTATAGTGTAGTGTACTAGTACAGCACGAGTGTGTGTAGTAGTGTAGTGTTTAGTAGTATAGTGTAGTAGTGTAGTGCATAGTGTATAGTAGTGTGTATAGTGTATAGCATAGTGTATAGTGTAGTATAGTGTACAGTAGTGTATAGTAGTATAGTGTATTGTAGTGTATAGTAGTGTACTGTATAGCTGTGTAGTGTATAGTGTAGTGTGTAGTGTATAGCAGTGTAGTGTATAGTAGTGTAGTGTATATAGTAGTGTATAGTGTAGTGTATAGTGTAGTGTATAGTAGTGTATAGTAGTGTAGTGTATATAGTAGTGTATAGTGTAGTGTATAGTAGTGTAGTGTATAGTAGTGTAGTATATAGTAGTGTAGTGTCTAGTAATATAGTGTAGTGTATAGTAGTGTAGTATACAGTGTAGTGTACAGTGTAGTGTATAGTGTAATTGATGACATTGGTACATCGGATCAGTTGGGACAGTGTTGGCCGCTACGTGTCATGTTCATCGATTACAACGAGTTTCAATGCAGCCTCAATGTCATTGATTGACAACCGCCTTTGCAGATCGATAGGCACTGCCATGGCACCTGCTTTGCATTGTGTCATTGTAATTCAGTGGCACTGGTGTTTTGCAGTACAGCAAGTGGGCCCGTGAATCCATGTACGTAATGTGATTTATTCCTGAATTGATCTTTCATTGTTTTTCTTTTATCCAAATGATTGGTGTTGCAGATTCAAGAAATTTGATTATACTCAGCCTGAGGACTTTGAAGACGACGGTGAGTAGAATGTGAGGTATCTATACATATGATGGTTATGGGCAGACGACGTGGTGGACAGTAGTGATGGTTACGATTGTAATTATGGTCATTGACTCGTTGGCTTATTTAAATGATTACAAGTCATATTTCATTACCAAAGTAAATCGCATTAGATCCATCCGCAATGGAGCTGCCGTGGTTAGCGCGGTGGGCTTGCAATCCAGAAGCCGCTGGTTCAACTCCATATCCCGACGTGGAAAGTCTCTTAAATCCCCTCCCCACCTCTCTTCCACCCAGCGGTGTCAATGAGTTCACCGCGCTTGGTCGTGTGTGGTCGAGGAGGCGCTTTGCCGCCTCTACCAATGTGTCTGCGCAGCGTGGGAGAGTAGGCAATTTCCTCTTTTCAGCTCCCTCTTGTGGAGGCCCTCTGCACCGGTAGTAAAATCTCACCGTAAACTATTGCCAATTCCCGACTTTCATAACCGCCATTTGATTCCGAAAATGGTTATCGGTTTAACAAACCCAGCGATGTACGCGCGTCAATGTGTGTGCGTGTTGCATCGCCACAGACGGTGACTTCTCATCGGCCTCTCTTCCGCCAAGCAAAATGTCTCAAGCGGTGACCAATTCTGACGATGAAAATGGCGACAAGGCAAAGCCTGCAAAGAAGGCCTTGAGCGGAACCAAGAAGTCCCGTCAAGTCACGGCCTTGAACACAGCAGCAGGAACAGCAAGAGACGGAAGGTAATACTATACACTACACTGTACACTACTATACACTACACTAATATACACTACACTATACACTACTCTACTATACACTACACTACTATACACTACACTATACACTACACTGTACACTACTAGACACTACACTACTATACACTACACTATACACTACACTACTATACACTACACTATACGCTACACTATACACTACACTACTATACACTACACTATACACTACTAGACACTACACTATACACTACTCTACACTATACTACACACTACACTATACTACACACTACTCTACACTATACAATACACTGTACACTACTATACACTACACTATACACTACTCTACACTATACACTACTATACACTACACTGAATAATACTCTACACGACACTATACTACTATGCACCACTACTGTACACTACACACTACTCTACATTATACTATAACCTACTCTACACTACACACTACTGTACACTACACTATTATACACTACACTACTGTACACTACACTATACTGCTGTACACTACACTACTGTACACTACACTATACTGCTATACACTACACACTACTACATTACTATTATTGTGCCGTTACATCATGACAAGATGTAAATGCGTGTCCCTTAGAGACGCTCACCAGATGGAGTGCATCACCTCGTCATTGTTTTACAAGTCAGCGTTGTTTGTATTGTTTCTGTTGCATCTCATGGATTCGCAGTTGCTTCCGACAGCCACTGCAATGGTAACGAAAGAACAGATTCTTGAGCCGAATTGCAATCCAAATCATGGCAATTCATGAAACCATCAGGAGGGAAATTCCTTCCATGCCTAGTTTGGATTCACTCCTTCCAGCTGCTCCATCATGTTATGTAGCAACCTCTTATTTATAACATTACTAGCGGTAAGTACCCGGCGTTGCCCGGGCGTAAAAGGCAGACACACATGTAGACTTACACACAGACATCGACCTACACACATAGAAACACATCGACTTAGATGCACACACACATATGGTTAAGTGCAGGAT